CCAATCTCTGAGCTCAAAATCCCACCAATCCGTGGGCTTGCCCCAAGATCAGGACTTAACATTCCACCATACCCACCCTGGAAAACTCCACTCCCAAAAAAACCCTATATAAGCCTGTCTGCTGCTCTGTTCTTTGCTGCTTCTTACCAACAGAGGCAGCCACCCTCCTGTGTTTCCCTGCCAATAAACCTCTTGTGTAAGGCTCGTGATATGACTTTGTGGTATTCCTTGGCTCTCAACTGCCAGGATACCTTTTCCTTCAGAGCTGTAACACTTCCATAGGGGAAACCTTCCCCCTCAGAGCTATGACGACACCACTTCCACTAGGGAAGCCTTTCCCCTCAAGCCACCCCTCCCCACCAGCTGTAACACTTCCATGATGGCTGCTCAGATTCCTTGGCTCATGGCTGCATCCAAACTCTGTTGTATGAAACCTGTTGTATGACCATATCTCTTTTTCTTTGTATGTGTGCATGTGCGTACACCTGTGGGTGTTGGGGCCAGGGGACAACTTCAGGTGTTCTTTGGGGATGTACATCTTGTTTTGGGAAACAAAGTCTCTCACTGGTCTAGAATTCACTAAGTAGACTAGGCTGGCCAGACATCGAACCCCAGTGATCCATTTTTCCTACTCTGCAGCACTGGTATTGCCAGGGCCAACAAAATCAGCCTCCTCTCCTCTCCTCTCCTCTCCTCTCCTCTCCTCTCCTCTCCTTTCCTCTCCTCTCCTCTCCTCTCCTCTCCTCTCCTCTCCTCTCCTCTCCTCTCCTCTCCTCTCCTCTCCTCTCCTCTCCTCTATTCTCTTCTCTCCCAGCCCTCCCTCCCTCCCTCCCTTCCCTCCCTTCCTTCTTTCCTTTATACATGAATTCTGAGGTCAAAGCATTTTACCAAATGAGTCATCTCCTTAGCCCCCAACATCTTGTTTTTTGACTCTGATCAGCCTTTATGCCTCATAGAGAGATCTCTGTGATTCTACTGGGTCCACCTGGATCAAGCAGAGCTTCACATTGATCTCCATATCACTCACTTCCAAAAGGTCTCTTAGGTATCCTTGGGGTTAAGTTCCAGGATCTCAATGAGTGTGTGTGTGTGAGAGAGACAGTCTAATCAGACATCATCAACTTTGAGAGCAAGAGGCTGATAAGAGAGGATGATCGAAGGGTGGACTTGGAATTTTTTGTTGTTGTTGGTTTTTCGAGACAGGGTTTCTCTGTGGCTTTGGAGGCTGTCCTGGAACTAGTTCTTGTAGACCAGGCTGGTCTCGAACTCACAGAGATCCACCTGCCTCTGCCTCCTGAGTGCTGGGATTAAAGGAGTGCATCACCACTGACCTGCAGTCACCAGGAATGTTGATGTCACCTTGTGTCTTAGAAACCTTAAGGTTAAGAGGATGGGGAAATGGAAGAAGGAACCAATGCCATTTAAAAAAGAAACACAAATGATTTAAAATAGGTTGTTCTTGCATTTGACTTACTGTCGGTTTTTTAAAAAAATGATGTTTATTTTCTTTCTCTTTTCTTTTTCCGAGACAGAATTTCTCTGTGTAGCTTTGACTGTCCTGGAACTCTTTATGTAGACCAGGCTATCCTGAAACTCACAAAGATCCTCTTGCTTCTGCCTCCCAAATGCTGGGATTAAAGATGTGCACCAACATGCCTAGCTTATTTTCTTTCTCCATGATAGAATGCTAGTCAACTCAGTGATAGAGGTTCAAGGTTAGGGCTATGCCTTAGGACAGGACTGAGGCAGGTGCTATTAGGTTTTTTATGAGTAATTCATTCAAAAAAATGCTTATGCTTATGTGTGCGTGCATGGGCATGCAGATGCTTGTAGAAGGCTCTGGTTCCCCTGGAGCTGGAACCACAGGCAGTTGTGAACAGCTGCCTATTGTGGGTACTGCACACCAAACATGGACCCTTCACAAAAGTAGCAAGTACTCTTAACTACTGAGCCATCTTTTTAGTCCCAATAACTCCTGAATGAGAGGATGGATGGATACAGAAAGAGAAATAAAAGCAAGAAATAAGGTATATGGTAAGAAGAAAGAAAGGGCTGAAGGATGAGGCGAAAGGAAGGCAGATATTCGTATAGAGTATGCTCCCACAGAAGGGCTAGGATTCTCTATGGTGAGAGTGGAATGTGGTCTAGGTAGTAACTACAACCCATAGAAAGTTCAAAACGTAACATGGGAGGGACGGAGAGGGAGGGGAGGAAATAACAGGAGAAACATATCTTGAAGGGAGTTGATAAGCCATGTGAGTAATTATCTGGGCTGTGTGAGCAAAGTGGGGTTCATTCTACAATCTCACTCCTGTTTCCTGTGGGACTTGGGAGTACAGGGAGCTTGTTTTAGATAAGACTGGCACCTGGCAGAGTGAGCACTTAGCATTGTGGTGGCCAGTTACAAAGGAAGAACCCTAAGGGCTGTCCACCCTTACAGATGACTTCGATTCTCAGATTCAAGCAACAGTTTGGGGGCTATAAAACTTATAAAGCCCCTCTGATGATGATTGTACTAGGCCCCAGTCTACAAATATAGCAGAGTATCATTAGGAATCATTGCATTGACTTTTTTGCCCATTGTGTTTTATTCTATCCTAGGTCTCTGTGCTATCCAGCCTCTGGGTCCTGGCCCTCCAGGCAGTGTCAAGTATGGGCTCACTCTTGTCACATGGGACTCAAATTGGATCAGTCATTAGTTGGCCACTCCTACAAGTTCTGTGCCATCTTTAACCCAGCACATTCTGCAGATAGAACAAATCGTAAGTCAAAGGTTGTGTGGCTGGGGCTAGCGCCCTAGTCCCTCCACTGGAATCCTGTGCCTGGCTATAGAAGATGGCTAGTTCAGGTTCTACATCTCTCATTACTAGGAGGCTTCACTATGGTAGCCCTCATAGATTACTGGGAGATTCCCTTACACCAGATTTTTACCTGACCCCAAAAACCCCGCTTTCTAGTAGTCTCTTTTGGTACTCTTCCCCCTGCACCTGCCCCCAACCTGCTCTCTCCTGTTCCTATCCTGACCCACCCCAGTCCACTCACAAAATCTCCTCTATTTCCCCTTCCAAGGGAGACCTGGGCTTCATCATCAGAGAGGCTTCATCCAGCAACTCATGGGAGCCTATGCAGAGACCCACAGCCAGACAGAATTCCTCAGAAGAGGGTGAGGAAGGATTGTAGGAGCCAGAGGGGTTAAAGATATCAGAAGAACACATCCTACAGAATCAGCTAGCCAGAACTCATAGGGGGCTCATGGAGACTGAACCAATAACCAGGGAGCCTGCATGGGACTGACCTAGGCCCTCTGTATATATGTTACAGTTGTGTAGCTTGATGTTCTTATGGGACTCCTAAAAGCGGGAGTGGGGGCTGTCTCTGACTCTTTCGACTGCTTTTGGGACTCTTTTGCTCTTACTGGGTTGCCTCATCTAGCCTTGATATGAGGCTATGTGCCTCTTCTAACTTGATATGCCATGTTTGGTTGATATACCTGAGGGGCCCGCTTTTTTCTAAAGGGAAATGGAGGAGGAGTAAATCTGGGGGAGAGGAATGGTGGAGGGGGAACTTGGATGAGAGGAAGGAGGGGAAACTGCTGTTGGGATGCAATATATGAGAAAAAAACTTATAAAGCCCAAGATACAAGCAACTTAAGTCTCTGAAGTCCTAGAAACTTAGGAGATTCATAGACACCCTCTCTGGGGTTATTTAAATAGCTACTGCTGAGGAGAGGAGTATCTCCAACCTGCCAGGCTACCTACAAGCTGATGGGGGATGTCCTTCTGTATGCTATGACTATATGTTTCTCTTATTGGTTGATGAATAAAGCTGTTTGGCCATTGGACAGGCAGAATTTAGATAGGTGGGAATTCCAAACAAAGAGGCAGGGAGAAGGAAGAGAAAGGAGAGACACCATGTAGCAGCCGGGGAGTCAAGAGATCCAGGCATTACCAGTAAGCCAAGGTCACGTGGAAATACATAGATTAATAAAATGGGTTAATAATTAAGTGAGCTAGCCAGTAAGAAGCCTAAACCATTGGTCAAACAATTGTAACTGATAAGTCGCAGATTGGTTATTTCGTTAAGTGGCTGTGGGACCCAGGGGGTGGAGAGAAAAATCAGTCCAGTGGGACTGAGATAGACAGAGAAAATCTCCTTCTAAAGCAAGCCTTGCAGAGAGACCCAGGGATGCAGCTGCCTTGGACCATCCCTCGTGCTGGGATGGGCTTTTCTGTCCTTAAGTCCTCAGAATCCTATGAGTAGAAGCTAACAACCCCACTTGTTCAATAAGTTAAACATGGGTGGAACTGTTTTTTTGTTCCATCATGAGTTTCCTATCTGAGGTGAACAGACACTAGATTTCCTAGGAAAAGCCACACAACAGCAACTGTCTTTCAGGGATATCCTGTGGTGAAAACACAGTCTGAAGCTAATACTAGATGACATCCTGGGTCTTTGAATTTCTAAGTCATCAAATGGCCAATGAAACAATCTGTCCCCCTTAGTCCCAATTTATACTCCAGCTGCTGCATCCATCTCAATGACAGTGGAACAGACGGGCCTTTGGCAAATGTCACCCATGGCTCAGCCTTTATGGCAAATGGCAGAATCTGCTCTGGTCTGACCCCACTGGAAGTGTGCTGTGATGCAATAGCTCACCAGAGCCACTCTGGGAGAAGGAGGCTCTATGGACTGAATTTGCCATTACTATGGCAATCTTGAGACCTTTGTTGCAGAGAAAGGTTAAATGTGACCAAACATTCATCAAGACACTTAGCTAATGGATGAGACCAAATCCTTTTCCTGTGTGTAAATCTGTAGCTGATGAATAGATGGCTGTCACATAGAGGATAGTGTTGAAGCTTGGGATAGCTTATTGTGTAATCAACCTTGGGTTTAAATTAGTCTCTGGCTGATAAAATGGCTACATCTGTAACATACATGAAACACTAACTCAGAGAGGGGGGATCGGACATGACACAATAATATTCTGAGAGCATTTGTCTGAGACCAAAGATTATTTATTTTCCATCTTGCAAAACCAAAGCCATTTTTGAAAATGTCTCATTTCTTCCTTTGTATCTTTGAGAGGCCATTGCAATCTTTCTAAAATTAATAGCTATTTCTTCCATGAGTTTAATGCCATCTAAACAACCCACTGTCCCTCATTACTCCATACCACAGTTTCTTAAAGAAATAGCATTGAGCAAGAGAGACCTCTGGAGTGCAGCAGAGAGTCATCAGAGGGCCTCAGAAGGTCAGCAGGTACTGATCTGCCTAGGGTTCCAATGGTATATTAGCTATGAGCTATTGCTCATTCACAACAGAGGGCAATTTCTAGAGCAGGCAGTAAGCTAGCAGGCAGCACATCTTCAGCCCATGCTAGCCTTCCCTCCCTTGAGTTGTCTTCAAGGTGATTCTTTCATTTGCATTTTTTTTACTGGTGGGCGCCTAAAGGTGTAACCATGGTGCCCAGTCTTGTTTCAGGTGCCACAGGGTGGCAGGAGCTGGGTGGAGGTGAGCCATTAGGATCTTTACATTCTCTAAAGTCTTGAAGGTTGCGAGGGATGTCCAAGGGCCACCTGAGGCAGAGATGAGACTTGTGGGTCTTTTAACCCTCCAAACAGAAATATATTTTGACCCTATGACATATCACAGCTTCACACATTGCTTATGATAAATAACCTCACCGTTGTTGCTAGTATTTGGTACAGTGTCTGAGGAAGAGTCAAGAAATTGCCATGTTCTCTTCCCTCAGTCTCCATCATCACCACAGACTTTATTGTCACCTGACATTTTTTAGTGCCAGACAGCATTCTAAACACCTTCTCTGGGTTCACATGAAATAGTTAAGACAGTCCTATAAATAAAGTACCACATTAGCCTCCTTGTAAAACATTTTTTATATTTTTGGTTGTGAGCCTAGCCCTTAATGGCTGAGCCATCTCTCCAGCCTGTAAAACATTTTTGAAAGATTAATTTATCTTATATGTGTGCATTTGTGTGTGCACATGCAGGCAGTACACATGGAATCTAGAAGAGAACATTGTATCTCTTGGAACTGGAGTTATAGGTGGTTGTTTGCTGCCTGATGTGGGTGCTGGAACAAAACCAACGTCCCTTGCTATTCTTGGAAGAATAGCAAGTTCTCTTAAAGACTAAGCCATTTCTCTAGCTCCCATTTCACTTTACATTTTAAAATTACACTCATTTCTTTATTTGTGTGGATATGCGGGCATGTGTATGGATATATACATGCCATGCACTGTGTGTGGAGATAGAGGACCGTTCTCTAAAGTTTGTTCTTTCCTTCTTCCCATATGAATACCAGGGACTGAACTCAGGTTATGAGCCTTGGTAGGTGTTCTTATCTTCTGAGCCATTTCCCTGTTTTAGGAAGAGGGAAAGCAGGACTTAGATAAACTAAGTAGCCTCATTTCCCTCCTTGGGTTTCCTCTCCCTTCTGACATCCCCTGGGTACCTGTAACTGTGAATGCTGCTCTAGGTACCAGGATCTACATGAGCTAGACTCACAGAGTATGTATTTTAGTGGTCAGTCACTGAGCCAGTCATCCACTGCTGGAGGATTTGAACTGCATACAGTGAAAACAATAGGGCAGGTTATATCTTTGTGCAACATCCTGAGTGCTTTCAAGATGTGACCTGGGCTGAGTATGCCCTCTGTGGCGCAGCCTGAGAAACTGTCATCTGCTTTACCTTCACCAGAGGCCCCAACACTGATGGATTGTGTACCTTCAGGGAGTGGGGTGTGTGTGGGGACTCCAGCTTCTGCTTGGGTTCAGCATGTGCTAATAAGGGATAAGTCAAGACTGTAAGAGAGCCTCAGGAGATAGTTGACTGGTCCAAGACTGCTTTCTCAGGGCAGAGGCCAGGCACCCTGGCAGTTTCCTTTTCTACACAGAGTGGGTAAGTCACACCACACAGGACTTTCTTACCAATGAGCTGAGACAGTGTGTTTGTGACACCCACCTGTGAGTGAGAGGGTTGGGTGGTCTAGAAGAAAGTGTGTGTTGGGAGGGCCACCGTCTGTGTCCGAAAAGCCATCATTGCCTCTTGACAGCAGGGCCACTCAAAACAGTGAAGGAAAAGATATCCTCCCTAGATTCCTGTGCCTTCAGGAATGGAAGTTTCCCAGAGAGCTCATCTAAGTGTCTCACAATATGTACTTGTTCTGTAACCTCATTAGAAACAGGGAAGCCAGCGGTGTCTCATGGATATCTCTCCGCAGTAATGAAAGGCCTGTCACAATCACGGAGGTCAATGTGTCAAGTGTGTGGGTCATTCAGCTCTATTAGAAGAACTGAGCTGAGGGTCACTATGACTCTCTCTGGTTTTGATTCTGAGACTTTTGAATAGCCATCTCCTTCAGGGGTTTAAATGAGGCCATATTAAGACAGCTCAAGACAACAGGCAGGAGTCACCTGGGTCCCAGTTTAACACTCTCAGAAATATTTCCCCTTCCAAACTTTGCCTCCTGTGTTCTATAAGGAACTGAAATGTTAACATTCTGGGAGTGCCTTCGGCGATAAGATTGACAACTGAATATTCCTGATATCTAATTATCCCAGCATTTGTGAATCCACCTCTGTCTTGTTTCTATTCATTCTCCAGTTAATTCGCCATGAACAGCAGCTTGCTAAATGACAGCCCAAACAAGCATATCCTAGACAGACCTCAGTCCACACTTCTAACACCAACTGATGCTCTGTTTTGATCTGATGTCTACTAGGTCACACTTTAGACATGGGGGTGAGGAGTTTAGCAATAAACAAGACACAAAGAACTCCCGTTCTCTGGTCTGGGTGGTTGGTGTTTGCGCCACAGCAGGGAAACACATGATAAACAAATAACACCTCATGGAAGTAAGTGCTGTGTGAAGAATGAAAATGAGATGGCATGAGGAGGATAGGCAGGGCTTTTGTTTTGGCTTTGAGTTGGGTTTTAGGTGGCAGGTGTCTCTGTTTCTGTTGTGGTGGTCTTGACATAGTCATCTTCCATGAACAGGCAATGCCATGTCTGAAGGTGATCCTGTGACTCAGAGGCTGGGGAAGTTAGATGCTCTCTAATTCATTAGCTTTGGCAGTTGTGGCCAAACCTTCCAGGTCTTTCCATTTGAAAAGTGTTTCGTAGACAGAAAGAACTCCAAGTGTTTTTGTTTGAGGGAGAGAGGAGAGAGAGAGAGAGAGAGAGAGAGAGAGAGAGAGAGAGAGAGAGAGAGTACTTGGCATGTGGAGGTCAGAAGATACCTTGGGTGTTAGTCTTCATCTTCCACCTTGAGACAGGGTCTTTTCATCACTGTGAGCCAAGCTGGCTCATGAGCTCCCAGGGATCATCCTGTCTCCACCTTCCATCACTCCACAGTCACACTACGTGCCTGGCTTTACACAGCTTCTGGGGATCTAAACCCAGGTCCTCATATCTGCACAGCAAGTGCTTTATCCATGGAGCCATCTGCCCAGCCCTAAGAACTTCAATCTGTGATCAGACCATCTAGCGGAGGTGTTAAGTAATCTGTGAAAGAATTTAAAGTCTGTTCTGTTTCAAATTAGGAGTGTTGATCCTAAGAGAGCAGCAAGCTGACTCACTGTCTCAAAAACCTCTGAGTCAGCATATTTCTCAGGGTCCTGGCCTGGCTGGAACCAGGATGCTTCAGGACCCAAAGAAGTCCCAGACCCCTTATGGAAGTAGGAATACAAACCGCATACACAAAATCTTACCTGAGCAGTTCCAGTATGAACCCACAGGTTTGGTATTTCCCCTAAAGTTTGAAAATATTCAGACCCTTGCTACAAATGAGTTAGGAGCTGACTTAATTCTTTCAAATATATGTGCTCATGTGTGTGTCTGTATTTGGTATGAACATATTAGGACTTTGCCTAAAGAGGCCCAACCCATGGCAGTAGAGTTACTGGTGAGGGTCGGGAACCAATTTCAGACCCATGAAAGAGCAGCAAGTGCTCTTAGTTGCTGAGCCATTTCTCTAGCTCCGGAGGAACCTCCAATGTTAAAAAAAATGAAGAACTAAGTGCTGCTTCACATGGTGTTATTATTGTGATTTATTATGATGATGATTTTATATACCATTATTGTATATTAATAATTAATAATAATATTATTATGCTGAGGTAAAAACTGAGCCCAGGGCAACAGGGTAAGCATTTTCCCACTGAGCCACACCCCCAGAGTAGGTGATAATTTAAAAAAAAAAACAAATGCCACCATTTTAACAAAGGAAATATAAGAGTTGAAGGTTGTCAAATTTTGTTTCCTTCATCTATTAGAAGTGGCTTTGTTTAACCTTAACAATTTCATTAGCTTGTTGAGAAAGATTAAGCATGGAAAGACACTTCAGTGCCTGGAGAGAATACTGATGGAGTTGGAAAGTGGGGGCCCAAATGCTATTGACATCTGTGGTTACCAAGAAAACCACTTCTAACCTCCAAGACCTTTAACCAGCCAGGCTCCCCTCTGATTGCACATTCACTGACCTTAGCTGAATTCCTCTCCTGGCTCCTACCTTAGGGGCATTTTTAGTCATCTTCACAACTGCTCAGAGAGGTTGAGAATTAAACGTAATTCTTTGTGGGTTGGGATCCAGCATCACTTCAGTTTTAACATCTACAGCCCAAGCCCCCTGTCCTGACCTTGAGAGCTCTCTTCTATTGCATAACTTTATCCTGCTCATATGTTGAAGACTCCTTTCTTACTGTGTAACTTTCATTCTATAAAACTGCCAGTAGTTAATTTACCCTCCAAGATAAAATGAACCAATATTTTTTTTAAAAAAATCTGGAGTCTGTGCACATATTAAGAGGGTTCAAAACAACATTACAATCTTTTAAAGGAGGTTAGATTGTAGGGTGTGGTGGCTCATGCCTATATTCCTAACACTCAAGCGGCTGAGGCAGGGGGATGGTTGTAAACTTGAGGCTTGAGTGGACTGAGTGAAGGACTGCTTGGCTTACTTAGTGAGACCCTATGACAGACAGACAGACAGACAGACAGACAGACAGACAGACATAAAGACAGATACACACAGATTGGATGAGTCATAGCAAAGTAGTCTTATCACCATATACAGAGAAACCAATTACTCATAGTTTGCAGCTTCTTTGGGTTAGGAGTAGGATGTCTGGTCCCCTAACCCACTGGAAATAAGGAACAAGAGAAGAATGTAGTGTATCTGTGGGAATGCCCAGGGACAACTTGTTAGGGAAACACGAGGCCTAACTCTATGAGTTGGAGGTAGCCTGTGTGGGATGGAGTTGAATGAGCCCCACTCCTGTGAGAGAGCACTGTGGTTAGGGTGACTGTTGGTGGCAGCTGCTCTAAACGGCCCGGTTCAATTGCCAGCAGTGTAAGGCTTGGATCTCTGCCCAGATTTGAGCTGTGACAATAGATTCTACCCATAGGCTGCTATGGGATTGACTGAGATAATACAAATGAGATTGATTGATTGATGGTTCTTCTGCCATTTGACCTCATGGTCAATTATTATGAAACTGTCCTGACAGGGGTGAAAATATTCTAAAGAGATCCTTGCACCCTCATTCTGAGTATC